ATATAGTGTATTATATTATATTATTGCTTTAAATTTAGCAATGGCCATCAGAAGTCAACTTTTCAGATAAAATCAAGAGATTTGTTTCAGATTCAGTTCTGGTACAGAAAGTCTAAAAAATCGGTTTGTTATAAACCCTTTCATGTTTGATGTTTTTATTTTGTAAAAATAGACAAGTTTAGTTGTCACCTGGGACTTATAGCTGCAGCACATAAAGCTAAGAAATAACTACTTCATGCATAACGTAAGGTGCTGACCTAGCAACGTCATTCATTCTATTAAAACAAAAGTAAATCAGGTTAATTCAGACTTGTCCATGTAAACAATGAACAGTCTGCATGTAAATAACAATAATTAGCTATGTAGTGGCCACGACATTGTTATCTCGTGGCCACATGATAATCTTTTTTTATTTCATGTCACCGGACGGGCTCCATACAATCACCATCTGTGTGTTACACTGTTGGCTAAAACCCAGTTATTTCTTTAATGAATAGATCCAATGTCTTTTTGGTTTAAAAATACATTAGTTTTAGTAGTGTAAATTTAAAAAAAATCACTTCTGTTTTAGTTTAATAGAGTATTTTCAGATGCGACACATATTGTTTAAACTATTTTAAAATATTGTTTTGCCTAAATTGTTGCAGATAAACATGATAAACATTGAGAAATGTTGCATTATTTAGCATATTAAATACATTTCTGTAACAGTTCAGTCATTTGATGAATGTGTGTACTAGTAAAACCCAGTATGTCTTGGTTCTTGTTATTACTGACAAAATATTCTAATAAAATATCATTGACACAAAGATCAGTGAGGTCATTGTACTGTTCATGTATGTAAAGTTTCACTTTTTGCTTTTGATCACAAAAAAATACACAAATTTTTAAGAAAGTAAATTTAGCTAAATACATTGTATTTTATTTTAAAAAGTGTTTCTATTTGTGATTTTTTTTATTTGTTGGTTAGAAATAAGTATTAGTACCACAAGGTATCTTGTTGTTGTTGTTGTTTTTTTTTTTTTGTCTTTTTACTTACATGCTTTAAGCCCTAAACATATCTGGTTAAAAACTATAGGTTTTTTTGGATTCATGTGTGTTTCATTGAGTCAAGAAGTAAAGATCTAAGCTTAAACA